TGTGCAACAAAATGGAAATTACTGTCTTGCATTTTCGTGGAAGGGAAATATGATGAACTAATGTTAGTGCTCAAATGATGACACAAACCCAAATACCAAGTTGAACTTCTACTAACTTCTATGTATAATATACTTGTAAAAAAGTGTTTACACATGCATGCATCAAATTGTACATATACATGCCTGACATTTTCATGAATCATGATATTCATCCTACTCACGCTACTCATACAAAAATGTGAATTACTTAGGCAGGATGAGCCAATCAATATCTACAGCCATCATTGTACGGTTGTGTGCGGCAGTTACTCCTGTAGGATCATCATCAAAAACCACCACACACTAAGAAAGTCTCCGTTCCAGCTGCAACGCATTTAGGAAAACAGGACAAAAAACTACCAGGATATTATAGAAAGAATGAGAATATATTTAGTTTTGTAGAGCTAACTCGAAATAATAAGATGCCCCAAAACTATAATGTGATCTTGGAAGATTATATCACAATAGTTTTTTTTCCTTACCAAAGAGAAAATGCATAAATATTTACAAAGGTTAGTAAGTGAAATCAATTTTTATGAACTTCTATTTTTAGCTACCGAAAGGAAACAAGTTAAACATATAGTTATACTCTCCATTCAATTTCATTCCTTTATGGTTATTGTGTATCTTTGTCTTTGCATGTCGTCCCATCAATTAAAGCAAGCGTGCTAGAGATCATCTTATCAAAGTCCAACAATCAAAACAATTTAACATACCCTCTTGTGAGTTGTGAGGCAAGCTGCTTCCATGCATTCCTCTTCAGAGCTGGAAAACAGATTGCATGCTGTTATCACAAACCGGTTGCATGATATTGTGTGTGGTCCTACTCTTCTCATTTCAAGACTTTCAGTCAAAGAATTCAGTCTTGAAGTTAATTAACAACCAGACTAAACGTCTTCTAGATGATCACAAAATAAATATCATAAACCTAAAACGTGCAAGAGTACTACTGGACTACCAATACACAATAATTTTGCATTATTTCAGTTTATGGATAAAAATATCCCTTTTCCCTGTAAGCTTGAGTCAAACGTGCTTACAACCAAATTGTCCCAAGAGCAGATAAGACTATGTGCTTCATCTGGCTTCATAGCATAGCGTATGCGCAGTAAAAAAACATCTTGCAATTTGTCGTACAAAAAGTCTTGTTTTCAATAAGAATTAGCATCCTTCAATCATAAATTACAATGTGCTTGCATTGGAAGGCATGGCAAGGAATCCAACTTAATCGAAAAGGACAAAATTTAGAAATGTCCATGGTAACTAATATCCCTTACCACATTAAATTTTAAAGGCCCATCTGCTCCAAAAGTCTTAAAGCCTGCCCCATATTCATCTTTAATATTCTGGAAGAAAACATGAAACAAAGAACCAGGTTGGAGCAATAACAAAATTTAGGTAATTAAAAAGTAATCTAGTATCAATACTAAAATAGTAATTTTATATTATTGTCGAGCACTAATCACCTAGATATATGGATTTATGTGTGTATATAGAAAAGAAAATTAGGTCTAACATTATCCACACACAAAAAGTTCTAACCAAATTTAACTGGATGAAATATTAGTACCGTCTTTTGTTATTGCGATTCTTTTCTTTTCTACTCATTGGAAATATTTCGGAAAAGTCCCAATGATAAATAGAAGTTTGCGAAACTCGTCACTGTCTAAAGGTTAACTAACATGATTGAAGTTGAACCAAAGAAAATGAATCTAATAATTAAGCAAGCATGCTTAATGCCTTAACTCTTCAAGTTCAAATCTTAGACCAATACTTGAAGGGGCCCCAAAAAAATAATTCTTGGTACAGGAAAGTTTAGATGACAAGAGGCTATTTCAAAGAAACCATCAATCGAAAGAATTTATGATAAAAGTTTGTGTATATATATATATATATATATATATATATATATAGAGAGAGAGAGGTAAGATCTTTTGACACCAGTGTCAAATTTGAAATTTGACACCTCATCTAAGAGTCATTAGATCAAATAAGATCAATAGTGTCACATGCTTAATAATCAGAGCCGTTGATCTTTTTTGATTTAACGGCTCTCAGATGAGGTGTCAAATTTTAAATTTGACACTGGTGTCAAAGGATCCCGCTTCATATATATATATATATATATGGCCTTATCGTTTCTCAAGCTGCTTGAGATAATTTTATCTCCGGCTATTAAATCATAATCGTACAAAGATGGATCAATAGTGATAAAGGAAGAGAGAGAAAAAGGGAATCATAATCATTCAAAAGTGAATCAATTAATATAAGAAAATAAATAAATAAAACGACGTAGTTTTAGAGTAGCCGGAGATAAACTTATCTCAAGCTGCTTGAGATATGTTTTTCCCTATATATATATATGCTTGCATGTATGTACATATTTTGATACTTATGTGGTGTATTAGATTGAGATTTTAAAGGATTTTAATGGATTATTTTTGGACAAAAAAAATCATAGGAATTCAATGAGAATTTTAAAAGATTGTTTTAGAGTCCGTCCAAATTTTGTGGTATTCAATCTAGATTTTAAATAAAGGAAAAATAATTTTATGATATTTAAAAATATGACGATTTTAATGGATTTTCTATTAGTGTGAATTTTGTGAGACTTTTTAGTCAGAAGTATAAATAATATGTCTTTCCTACAATCTCACCCTAACCCTTGAGATTTCATTATTGCATTGTCGCATAATCTACCCTCTTTTCTCAAAGCCAAGGTATATAATCTACCCTCCTTATGCTATTCTTCTTCATGATTAACTGATTATTTGTGGTTGTACTTGTCATATCTAATGATGTGTTACATTTTATTTTATTTTTGATATAATCGTAGCACTGGTAATACATTGACAATAAACATGTTTAATAAATAGTATATTGCCGATAAAAAAAATTTCAATACTTTATATGCACCATATTAGGCACATAATGAGAGACAAAATTTCAACATTCATTTGTTGAATAACAAGAAAAAAATATCATTGTTGTAACTTTCTTTCGTCATTGAGTTAAAAGAGCATCTACTCAACAATGTTAATCATTCTCATACCATAATAAATGCAAGTTACTGTTTGACAAGACAATGAGCAGAAGAATAATGCTCATTGCACACTATATATGTCAGCTTTTCATTTTGTGATCTATTAAATTGAGATAAATACATTTGTATTTACTATAAATAATTTCATATAATAATTTTAATAAACATTTAAAAAAAATATTGATGAAAATGATATAAAAATTTTTAAATGTGAATAACATGCTCCATCACACTAATAGCATGCAAAGGTATCACAATGTTTTAATGAATTTTATGCATATAAATTTTTGATTTAATTATTCTCCTTAAGAATCACCTTTGAATGTTTGTTATTTTTAAAATCTTATAAATTTATATTGTCCTTTGAAATCTTATAAATTCTATTAAAATCCTATAAAATTCAATCTTATAAAATCTTGATCGTTGAAAAAATCATTTAAAAATGTCTTTGAAGTCACTACAATTCTAAATAGTATTTTAAAATCTATAAAAAATTTTTTTTATCTCAAAACAGTCTTTTTTTTTTTTGCCAACAAAACAGTCTTTTAAAACCTTAATGCAATACACCCTCTAAGATTATAATGCAACATTCAATTTCAGAACCTATAAGTTCTAAATTTTAAATTTAATTTTTTATGGTCCTAGACAGATCAAAATATAAAAACAATTTAACTAAAGGAAATACATCGAATTGATTCTTCTTTTTTAAGTAAATAACTCAAAGTCTCTATTTGTGTTTTGGTTTAATACCAATGTTAGCTCAGTAGTTTTATCCTCCTCTATGGAATAACTTCTTTATCCCATCCAACCTCAAATCTCACACCTTCATTTCATTCATCTCTTCGTTCCATAGTGTTCAACATCAAGCCATACAAAATAGTTTAGCAAGCACTTTTACCTCTACTCGATTTTTAATTTTCATGCAACGAAAATTGTGCTCTCAATTTGTTTTCTTTGAACATCTTATCATTTTCCTTTCTCTATAAGTGCGTCAATACTTTCCTTTTCTGAACAGGGGAAGATTTTGAGCAAGATATGCAATTTAAAAACTATCATCACTGACTTTTTATACAGCACAACGAGAACCATAAAACCCCAGGAACAAACCTCACACATAATATTAGACTGTGTTTTTGCACATAACAGAAATCTGCTGCCTTCATTTGGCAACATCACACCCATATAACTCAATCCCATCAAAGTTTTAAATTTATTACATAATGCAGCATATTCACTGAAAACTCTGGACTAATATTTCACCAAAAATATGAACAGATAAAATCAGCACCATCTTTAAATCCACACTTCAGCAAAGGAGCCCAGAACTGTATTCTTCAAACTTCACGATACAAGGATGACCAAAACTAAAAACTCCAGACCAGTTCCTGTACAACAGCCAAACGAATTGTCTTTTAGAGACTCCAAGCAATTAAATTTTCCATATGATGGTTTCATTAAATATAACATTCAACATAAAGTGGGAACAAGAGAATTTATTCTCCAGTTTTATTGAGCATGCTTGTATGCCCATGATTCCAATATCCAAATTTCAAAGTTAATAATGTGGCGAGGCCTAGGAAATGATTGTTCAATGCACAACGAAACAATTACAAGATTATAAACAGAAGAGAGATAGCCTGAGATTGATTTTTATATAGAAAAATGGAAAAATAGACTGAATGAAATTGAAAGTCATACTTAAATGATAAGTTGAATTTAAAAAAAGAAGCATTCAAACAAGAATAGGAGAAAGATATATATACCATCATTTATTACCAGACATGTTTAACCGGTAGATTATGCTGAGTCATCCGAACATAAATCGATCACTTTGGACTGCAGATCCTTCAAACAAATCATAATTGAAAATTATTTTGTGTAAAAGTAGCTACTTAACCAGACTGTAAAATTTGGAATATCAATTGAGACTTAGAAGTAGGCAAACCTTATCAACCTTGTTAACCATTGCTGAATCAGCTTCGTCATTCACCTGAACCAATCAATTTGTCAAAGATACTGTAGGAATCTCAAATTTGAAAGAAAAAGAGCATCAATCTCATTTGATTATAGCAAGCGATGAGTTGAGGGTCGCAGTATATGACAATGGATGTGAACAAAAAGCAGTTCACAGACTAGGCCCCAATTCCACCTCTTCCCTCATCTTTGCTTATACTCAAAACAGCTTATTGACTGTCATCGTCAAGAAGTGGTTGTGATGTGATATTATGCGAGTCAGAAAATTGAGAAGCTTTGTTTCATGCCCTTAACAACTCATAAACATTGAAACCAGATATTATATATGTTAAGTATGTAAATAAAATGAATGACAAGTGAATCTAAGAAGCTGAAGAATAAGAAATCTTAGTTGAATGGATTTGCAAAAGCAACAATTGGGTTCAATTGTACCCAATAATTACTATGTAAAGTGTTACAAATGCCCAAGTATAACTGTACAAGGGTGTCTCAAGAGCCGATAAATAACAATTTTGAAACTTCAATGGATAGTTTCTTAGGACCTAAAAAACAGCCAGCCAGAATAAATTTTGAAGGGAATAAATTTCAATATTGACATATACCAAAATAAAAAAATAAAAAAAATCAACATTGTTGCCACTGTCCCGTTACCTTCATTTTAGCCAAGTCATAGGCCTCCTTATCCAAAGCTGCTTGGTGGGCACGGTCCAACACTCTTGAACGAAAAATAAATGGATGTTTCTCCTGAAGAGAAAGAGAAATCATGCTCCAAAGGAACTCAAATTTTGATATTGAAGAAACAAAAATGGGGTAGGTTTTTACCTGCACCGACATGCTTTTCCACTTTTCAAACCCCAGCCTTTCAATTACAATCTCATTTTCCATCTCGTAACCCTTCTTAAAGCTTTCCCTGAGAAAGAAAGCTAATCAATATAGCATGACTTTTACCATAAACCAAGCATGAAAAAAAACCTCCATTCAATTATGAAACACAGGAAAAAAAAAATTAATCTCAAAGATCATATTTTTAAAAGGAAAACATGGCTATGCAGAACAGAATCTCAATTAAGAACAAGTTTGAACATGAACCATTATTAAAAAAAAAAACAGTATCATAAAATAGAACACTCCATAAATGACAGATGAGCAAAATTTGAAATTTCATCAGCACTCCATTAACCAAACAACATGGCGTTAAAGACAAATTCAAAATAAAATTCAGAGTGAGGAACTGAGACGCATTACATAAACAGACGGAAAGCCGAAGCGGGCTGGTTGTTAGAACCTTGAATGATTTGGGGAACATATCGATTCCCGTCTAGACCCTTGAATCTCTTGGCGTCCATCTTGGTTTCACAATGGTGCAAATCAGCCAAGGCAACAACCACAGATACCCCACATGTTCCACTGCAAAACAATCCAATGTATATATACACAAAACACTCAAGCCTCAGTGTGTTGAAGGCATGAACAAGAACCTCGAAAGTAGAAAAAAAAAAAAAAAAAACAGACATACAAGGAAACCGCGTTAAGAAAAAAACAAACTTTTAATGTTTTCCATTCATGTAACTGAGGCCCACACGAGGAAGAAACATACCATTTCTGAAAGGCGCTTCCATCAGGAGCACGACGAAAAGCACACACTCTCTTCCGGGGTCTCGGTGCTTGGGCCATTAGAGCGTTATTACATGCAGTGTTGTGTGGACTAGGTTGTCGCTTCTGTAACAACCTTCCAAATCATGCATTTGATGATCATCGTCATCATTTAGAAAAATAATTAAATTGATCGGTTGTGTGTATTCGAACGTTGTACTGAACAAAACCGTTCAATTCTTCCCGAAATGCCGCCTATACCTGCAGAAAGCAAAATATCACCGCCACCACCATGTGAATTTCGTTTGCCTCCCAAAAGTTTTACTTCTTTTCCTTTCATTTTCTTTTTTTTGTAAAGAATAAAAAAAAAAAAAAAATGCATAAACTTTTTCCCGCTGTTACCCAAATTTAAGGAGCGCAAAAACGTGATGGGGCACTTGTTTGTTTAAAGGGTTACGATTATTTCCTTTTATAATGAGATAAATAATTTTTTTACACACATATAAAGGGGTGGGTTCCATCACTCTTTTTTTCTCTCTTCTCTTACGTATAGATTCCACTTGTAATTTTATTTCTATAACATGAGATGATCACTCTGCTACGACATAAGAAAAATATCAGAGCAAGTAAGTGATTTTGATTAATTTTTAAGAATAAATAATTTTTTGTTTTTTACGAGATTTATGAACTATAAATCAATATAAACATATATTTATTTTAAAATTTTGTATTTATTTCATGAGAAATTATTATGTGTTTTTAGAATAAAAGGAATTTTTATTTATGGAAAAAATATTTATTCTATTAAAATACAGTCATCTTAATTAAAATTATTATTTTTTATTTAATATTTAAATTAAAAAACTCTCATTTTCTTCTACCATGATTTCTGTTTTTCTTACTATAAATAAAATATAATAATTTTGATTAAAATAACACAATTTTTTTTTATAGCAAAATAACACAATTTTATATCATTTAAAAAGACAAATATTAATATAATACTATTAAATAAGTATCACATTAATTATAATATTAAAAATATAATTGAAATAGTAAATATTAATAAATTATATAACTAAAGTAGTACACATTTGTTTAATTTAAAAATCATGTATATTAATTGGGAACGGTTATATTTACTATCATTTTAGGTTTATTACCTGATTTTCGATCAATTTGAAATCAACAGTTATAAAAAAAAAATGCCGTTGATTTCAAATTGATCCAACAGTAACCAATTAAATAATAAGAATAATAACCTAAAAATAATAGTAAATATAATATTTCTCATATTAATTTATTCATGTGGAATCTTTAAATTTAGTCTACTCGTTAAAAGCTGCAGTCGTGTATTAGAAACGAGTTAAAAATGTAACTCAATTCTGATTATTTAAAAAAAATTCACATAAAATGGAAGTGTAGGAGGTAGACTTGAGCCTTGAAGGGGGAAAATACTTACTGTCTCGTGAAATAAAAGATTATCTTGTCATGAAGTCGCTAAAATAAAATCAATGTAATGATTAATATATAATGATAAATAGAAATACATAAAAAATAATATATTTTTTATTTTCCAGTGCTTCCCTAATAATGCATTTCACTTGGGCATATCTTACTGTGCAGTGCATATTCTTTAAATGTGAAATTAATTTCTTGGATTACGGAGTATTATATTTGGAACCCAAATATTTTACCTTTTCTAATAGTTATGTTGCATTGATACCGACACGAGATATGTGATACGACATGACACGATACTTCGACATAATTCTAAAAAATGTTAAATTTCAACACGTTAGGATACATTTTTATATTAAATAATATTTTTAACTTATGTCATGTATATTATATTTAATATTCAATAATTTAACAAAAAAAATAAAGATAAACTTATAATTCTCTTCAATTTTGCAAAGAATTATAAGATATCCCAAATATTTATATTAAACTCAATAAAATAGTAATGGTAATCCAACAAATCTAATAATTGAAACTAAAAATGCAACACAACGCAACTATTGAACTCTTTTTTGAGTCTTTGCAACGCGTGTTGGAGTGTCGGGGAGTATTAGATTGTCAGGGAGTATCGAAAAGTGTCAAACACAATATATTAGGGTTTTTTAAGTGTTGGTGTATCATAGCTGGGGTGAAACTGGGTCGGGCCGGCCTACAGGGGCCTACGGCTCGGTGACCTAGTATATTTCGTAAAATAGGCCGGGCTTGAGCCTTGAAAAAACTTGTTTAATAAATAGACCGTAGGTCCATTTTCACAAGGCCTGGCCTATAAGCCTACAGGCCGGCTTATATTGTACTATTTATTTTAAATAAAATAGAATAAGTATGTCTTGAAGAAAAAAATAAAAGATATAAATTTAATCAATTGCATTTATTTATAACTTAATTATATTCGATTATATTTTAATATAAATCTGACTTTATTTCTTATGTAGGAGGAACCAACATTTCAGCATGTTAGATTGTGTATATGAATATATTAAAAGATTTTTAGGAGAAGTTATACTTACTACAAGCATCATGATGTGTTTGTTAGATTCATGTAGTTATTTTAATTTACATAGTATGAATTTGTTTGTTAGATCTCATGAAATATATGTTATTTAGTTTGAACATTTTGCTTTTGAAAGTGACTTAAATGCATGTTGTGATGAGTTTTATTGTGATTCATGATTTTGTTTGGACGTTAAAATTGTGATTTTTGGTTTAGTAACAAAATTTGAGTATTTTGTAAAGTTGATTCATGGTTCTGCTTGGAAGTTAGAAATTAACAGACTAACAGGCTAGGTTAGGCCATTTATTTTTTTATAAACTGGTCAAGTCAGGCCAATAGTTAGACTCCTACTAGGATTGGGTCAGGCCAAATTGAAATTTTTTGATATAGACTTGAGCTTTTCGAAGCAAAAATTGGCCCAGCTCAATCCACTTTCACCTGTAATCATAGCCTAATAGTGCATTTCCCTTGCCAGTATGCCAAATCCCTAAGGTTACATGAAAGGGATGAATCACACAACAATTTTTTTTTATTTTATATTTTCGTCATACTATTATATCAATTTATTATAAATTGTTAATTTCAAATTTAAAATGTTAAATTAATTACAAACAATTATCTAATCAAATCACAATCAACTATAATGGGAATTTGAATTTATATATCAGGACAAAAACAAGATCACAAATCATTTATAAAAAAAAAAAATTTATCACTGAAAAAAGTTAACTCAATTATTATTTAGATTTGAATTAAAATTTTATTTTATTATTAAAGTTAGTATTAATGTATGTATGTGTGTCTATACAAGAGGTTGAATTTATTAATATATTCAAGAGAACAAGGCTTCCAAACATGTAATATATTTTATTTAAAAATTGTAGTTATAGTATAAATATAAATATCTAAACTATTGAACTTTTAGGAAAATAATAACATTTAAAGAAATATTTTATGAACAAAATAAAATAAAAAGTTATTATTGGAATTGAAATTGGATTTTAGTTTTAATATTCGAAATTAATGAGACAGCTGTGTTAAAGAAGTAAGAATTTGGCGGGAAAATGATACTTGACCATTAACTCTACCTAAATGAAATGTGTTCTATTAATTTGTATACAACAATATATAAAATCTTAACTGATCACATCTATAATAACTAATAAGCAAATAAGTATACTAATAAACAAGCCTTGAAAACTTAAACAAATTATGATCAGAATTTGAATTAATTTCGCATTTAAAAAGTAAAATAAAATTTGATGTGCGTTGAAAGTTAAATACAGGAGTCCTTTCGTTTGTAAATTTTGAAATGATGAAAATAATAAAATTTCATTTTTATTAATTTAAAAAAATGAAATGAAAATATTATGATGCTTTTATAATTATTAATAAAAATATATCAGCCAAAAAAATTAAACTCAAAACACACCTGATATGTTTTGTGGGCTGAACCCATAAAACGTCTGGTGTGGATACTTTTATTATGGCAGATATGAAGTTGTGGATGAGGCCTAACTTAAGTTTCCTTTGTAAAGACCACAATAACCCGACCCAAAAAGTAACAGATACGAAGTCAGAACAGTCACGTTACCATGGGTTCAAATATCATGAAGTTTTAAGAATGTAGTCAATTAATATATAATTTTTAAAGGGTAATATTTTTCTTATGTTACATAAGAGAAGTATTATTTCTTATTTCATATTTTTTAAATGGGTCTGGCAAGAATTTTTTTTTCTCACCTTTAACTTTTTTCTCTCTTCTATTTATTGTTTGAGTGAGAGATAACACGTCTCTTATACAACATAAGAAAAATATTATCCTTTTTTTAATTACTCGATTGATATAATTCCAATCCTTGGAACTTCCATATCATTTGACCATGGATGTATCGATTATGATAAGGAAACTTTAATTAATTTAAAGATTAAAAACATTACATGTAGCAAGTCTTTCAAAATTGATTATAAGAAACTTCAACAATTCTATTTTTTTTTTTAATTTTTTTATCAAGTCGGTTTAATCCGATACAAGTACCTTCAAACCCATACCAATCCAGTATAGTTGATATACTACTTTTATAAATGCAATCATTGCATTATTTATCTAACATTTGAGCGACACTAATTCACATTTGGTGTCCTATCTTACTCTTCAACAAGTACATATACCGATAGGCGATAGCATGCATGTTAAAGACCAATCAATACCTCAATCTATATGATCCATTTCTAACATTAGAAAAAAATAATGAAAAAAATAATGTGATGAGAAATATGTGACACTGTTTTTGCGAATGAAATATCAAACTTATTTTATAATTACAAGTGCACCAGACAGTACTGCAAATTCAATTACAAAGAATCCATATAAAATTTGGAAATGCAAAGATAAAATTTAAATTACTAGCCCCGTCAATGCTAAGCTAGTTGCATATTGCAACCCAATCAATCACTCAGGAACAACATATTTTACAAAATGAGACACCGTCACAAACTCCTACACGACTAACAAAAACGCAAACATAACACAAGAAACTATAAAGAATGGCAAGACATTGATCCATGCATAAACATTAGGATTAAATTCATTCCCTTTTCTTATTTCTCTTTCCCAAAGGGAATGATATTTGGATGAATCCAAACTTCTTCCTCTGTGCTATGAACTGCTTTTGATTGCTCTCATCTTTTTCAGGTTTTGTTGGAAGAGTTAGATCATCCCTCAATGCTCGAAGCATTTGACTCAATGCTACCTTTGTTTCAGTGTGTTCTTCCATCTCCGTTGTTTCAGGAACTTGCTTTCTGCTAAGTACATCTCTCAGTGAAACTGTGGACCTTAAAACAGGCTTCGGATCATTGTTCACTGTTGTTGACTTGGTCACATCCGGTAGAGGAGAATCTTGATCAAATTTGTTGCGCTTTATAGAGTTGTACACTGCATGTTCCTTCGGATCATCCTCGAGAATCCATCTACGAAGAGCCTCTTCAGCAGCATTTTGCTTTCGGTTTGCAGTTTCAACACTGTTTAAAGCCTCTATCAAGATTTGTTTGCTGTGTTGAACTTCTTCTGTTGCTTCCTCCAATTTTCTTAAAATAGTCAGTTTACAAGTATTTATTTGGTCAATTTGGAACTTGGAATCTATAACCTTCTTCATAGTAGACTCTTCAGGTATTTGAACATTGGGATTTAGAGGAGAGTACTCCCCTAAGGCAAAAGTCACTTTCTTATGTTCTGGCAGAGCAAATTCTGATGATGTCTCAGCACAAGATAGTGCCTTGATTTCAGCAAGAGCAACAGCTTCTGCTGCCCTTGCAGCTTCTTCCATCTTTTTAGCTGCAAAAAACCTCATCTCAGCAGTCTTAATACTCAATCCATTCTCTTCATATTCAGGCAAGGGCTTTGAAACTTCAGAGCTTCTTGTCTCAATCATTCTATTGTACTGTCCAGCATCAAATTTGAAATTGCTAACAACATTTTGGGGATTATGAAGAGTGCAACTTGTTCCTACAGGAGCTGCTGGTGGCTTTAACCTTGCTTCTTTTTGGGCCACATCCTGTGCAGAGACAGCTGCAAACTTTGATGACAGCTTCTCACGTGCCCTCTCAAAAAAAAGTCTCTCCTTCTTCATCTTCTCATTCAAAGATGTAACTGAAGATTGTATAGCCCTAAGATGATTAATGGTTTTACCAAGGTTCATTTTAGCTTTTTTGAACTCCTTTAATAACAGATCAGGTGATGACGTAGACAATGGGCTTGGACTATGCAATATCTGTTCTTGATTGTTGACAATATTTACATCATTTTCCTGATTCATCTCATTAATGACAGGAGCTCCAACCTGTTCATGCGAATTCGTGTCTGGAGTTGCAAAACATTTCAATGCTTCTGTATGTAGCTGCTGCTTTAAATCCTCCACAATCGTTTTGGTAGCTCCTAGTTCTTCAAGCAAATCAAGTGTTTCAAGTTCTTTCACTATCAAATCCTTCTCCAACTTTGCTGCTTGTTCCTCCACTTTCTTTATGTCAAAGTCTTCAATACTGTTCTGCTAATGACAATCTTCAACATCAGAGAGTAAATAACCAGAGGGGTATGCATAAAGAATTATGCTATTCTAGAACAGAATGCATGGGCAATATGAATAGGTGAAAATCACAAGGATTTCCTAGGACGAATGCAAAGGGATTCCATCTTCAATAGTAATTTGGGACAACTTTGCCAATACTCATTTTGTATACCCTCAATGTCAGCACCCGATATACAACTTCTCAAAAGTATAATAAATATTTGAATCATTACATTATCTGTTTTCTACTATCCTCCAATATAGTATGAGATATCATGCAAATCAGAAATAACTAAAGTTGCAAAATCACCAAATCAAAACTAAACCAGAAAAATGTTAATTGAGAAATATCCAAGTCTGCATATTACACTAGCTCATTTTTTCCATTTGGGATATGATACCATGTAAAACAACCAACTCATCTAACAGCTCAAGTTGTTAAAGTAACGAGCTTTTAATAATTTTATATTATATCTCTAATAATATTTCATTGTCAGTGACACTTAGGCTCAGCCTTGAGAAAACTCGAATTATAAGAGGTAAGTAAAACGGTCCTACTATTGCATTAAGCAACAAATTCATGCAATGAATGAAATTTGAAAAAATAATAATAATAATAATTGCTGCACGCATGAAATTTTAAAAAATGCCGCTGAGTGTTCAAGTTGAGCTCTCAGAACTGCAGCATTGTTCTGCCACTATTTAGTAGAAAATTTGATTTTCACTTCATCCTTTGTAAGAAGCTGTTAATTTTTTGTGTGTAAATAATAAATAACAATTACGAGCAAACATGTACCCAAAATAAATAAATAAATAACGCTAGAAAACAAATCTTTGGCCAGCAATGTTTTCACCCTGCACCAAAAAACCGCATTCATAACTCTAAATAGAGAGAGAGAGAGAGAGAGAGAGAAGTGAGAGCTGAAAAACAAAAACAAAATGACAAAACAAAAATAGAGAGACTGAAAACTGCACACTTACGTAAGGCCCGCTTCCTTCAAAACGGGTCACCGCCTCCTTAACAGACCCGAATGGGGGGGACGTATCAATTTCAGCTCTCAAACCTACCCTCCTTATCCCCAGAACCGGGTTCCCACCCGACCCGATTCCAGCACCGAGCTGCTGGGGCCCGGTTTTCGTCTCGGGTCTCACTTCCCTCATGCTCGGCGTTGCTGGAAAACCATCGGCGACGGCTTCCAAGGATTCTGCCATTGCCGCTATGTGCAAAGTAGACGCGGGTTTCAGAGAAGCACCGACAGCAAAAGTTACATAAAGGTTCGAGCTTTGACCTTATCGACGTACCCATTTCTGAAATTTATGGCAATACCGAGGATGAAGGAGGAGGAGTGCGTGATGATGATGTCGCGGGGCCGAGTCACGAACTCGGTCGAAAAAGAGTGGCGGGTCAGGGAACCGGGTCCACCCACTGCATCGACGAGCGAAACGGGAAAGCAGAAAAAGAGAAAAAGGAAACGGCAGCGGAAAGCGCTTCTGGGTGGTTCTTTTCTCTGGTTAGATACGGTGGGGCTGGTAACATGAAATTACGGTGTGCGCTTTAATATGGTTGGTTGGTGGTAGAAAAAGTCAATGGCTGTGGTTGCAGATAATGAAGTGTATCCAATCAAGTGGAGACACGTCATCATATTTAGGTGAGGATTAACATGTCGTGTCGACAAGCTTCCCCTTGATTTGGAGCGTGATTTTCGGTTAGAGGAAAAAGCGTTTTTTTTTTTTTTTTTTTCATGCATTGAAACAAAAGCGTATCGAATGCCCCTGGGCAACCTTATTAACAACCTTTGCCCTAGTCCACACGATACAAACAGAACTAGCTTTTAATAAATGATTAGAAAACTTTCTTAATTATCTCCAAAAAAAAAAAAGAGAGAAAAAATTAATTTAACAATAGTTTTAACGGCCAGGATTCTTTACATTTAAACTGTAAGGTAAGGACTAAGGAACCTTAATCTGTAGTAGTGGGAATATCTTAATTATTGTTGCATATCTACGTTAACATCTTTTTCATTATCGTCAATAATAATTGGCAAATAATTTGTATAAAAGTTTCAAATCTGATTTTTTTAGGGTTTAATATTTTTTCTTTTTTTCTTCTTTAGAAAATTATTTTATGTCACGCTCATATGAAAATGAGTAAATCTCATTATAATTAGGAGAAAGAGAAAATACTAATAATATTTTTATGTGAGTGTAATAAAAAAATATTTATAAAAAAAACAAAAATATTTTCTTAAATTCATAAATATAACATTTCTCTTTTTTTTTAATGCGTGACAGCTTTATAACGGATTGTGTACGTATAAATAATGGGAATTGCTTTTGTTATCTAACATAACCTAAAATCAAATTTCCTACTCTCACAAAAGGAGGAGAGAGGAGAGAGAATAGGAAAAAGAAAAAAAATTTAAAATGGGTCCCATATAAATTTTGTATGTGTAGGAAGATGATTTTCGGTTATGTAACATAATAAAAACAATCCCATAAATAATTTATGTTATCACTTATCAGTATCAGTATATATCGTACTACTTTTGATTTAGATAAAATTCATAGGTATAAACCAAAAATTTAAAAACTTTAAAATTATAAATATATATATAATTGATTTGGGAAAAAATAAAATTATAAATTGAAAGATAAAGTTTTAAATTTAAAAAATGCACAATTTATTAAAAAAATGAGTTTAAAAAAGAGAATTCAGAAATATCATGTACCTTCTTAGAAGAGAGCAAACTTAAAGATTAAATTAGTTCTGATACAGTATACTTAATTTTAATAAATAGGAACATAACATATGAGATTTAAGGAAAAAAGGTAAATTTTAATATCAAAAAGAAAATTTTGAAAACAATTGATTTCAGAGTATAAACAGCTGATTCAATAGAGAGAAAAAAGTAAACATTTATTTAATTTTCTTTCATAAAAAATATTAAAAAAAAGTTTTAAATAATAATAGAATCATGTGTCTTAAGGAATAAAATAGTACAATGAAAACTCATTTCACTCTCAAGTGTGATAATATGTGTTCATATAATATGTGTTCATGATTAGGTTCTTAAATTTTGGAACAGTGACCCATTTGTCACATTTCAAAAAAGTAATTATTTAATTATCATGTGAACAGTAAAATTTTCTAAAATATCACGCATACAAGTTCGCTATAGCAGATAGCGAACTTAGTTTGCTGACGTGGTCACCTAGTTCGCTACTACTAATAACGAACTAGGTGGTCAAAATATATTCTAACAAAAAACAAGACACGTGTTCAGCTTCTCCCAAATTCGCTATGCATGATAGCGAACTAGGTATAATAAAAGCACTTCTGTTTCCCACGCTCAATTCTTTTATTGGTAACAGTGATTTTTTCAAGAGGCGCACTTTCCTTACCCTTTATCTCTCTTCTTTTTCAAATCACCCGTTCTTTAAAGAATTACTGTTTTTGCAAAAAACGAGAGAACCTATGATGCAAAAAAAAAAAAAAAAAACACCAAAAAAAAAAGAAACACCAATGAAAACCACATGCAAAAAAAAAAAACTACAAAAATCACCAGATGAAAACCACATTCAACCAGTACAAAAAAAAAACTACAAAAAAGAAGAAGAAGCTGTAATGCAAAAATGAAAGACTAAAGATTCAAATTTTTAAAAAACAAGTCAACAGTTCCCGGTGAGTGAATAAATACTGGTAAACTTCAAAGGAAGAGAGAGAAGGAAATACCGCATGTTGCTAAAATTAAAAAAATCACCATTACCAATGAATAAACCACAAAGAAAGAAAGGACATGCGTGTGGAAAATATAAAAGTTTTTATTACACCTAGTTCGGATGTGTATATAGCGAACTTGGGAGAAGCTGACACGCGTTTTGTTTTTTGTCAGAATATATTTTGACCACCTAGTTCGCTATTGGTAGTAACGAACTAAGTAGTCACGCCAACAAACTAAGTTCGCTACCTGCTGTAGCGAACTTGTACGCTTGGCATTTTGAAAAATTTTACTGTTCGCGTGGCAGTTAGATAATTATTTTTTTGAAATGTGGCAAATGGGTCTCTGTTCCTCAAATTTTACACTTTCAATGTGTAGTATTAATTTCACTGGGAGTCTGGGAGTACACAGCCATCTGGTAAGTGCATGACATATTTCACCAGGATCATATCTGTCAGTGGCGGAGCGAGTTGCCTAGCCAAGCCGGAAAACTTAGTGGATGTTAAATATTAAATTTCATTGTATAAATAATTACAGTGATTTAGTCACATTTAAAATATGACTAATTTTAAAAAATAAGCCATGGTCAAGGCACCACCTAATTTCTATGATATATGTGTGCATGACATATATAAGTGTTGGGCCATGTCGACCACCAAAATATTTTCAGTGCTCTCCTCTTTCTCTCTCCTCTTTCCTCACACTCTCTCTATCTCTCTCTTATCTCATACCACTATATTAGTGGTGTGTTGGTGTTGAAAATCGACAATCACACAAATCGAAAACGAAAAAGAGAAAGAGAGAGAATAGACACAAAGATTTATCTTGGTTCACCCAATTTAGGCTATGTCTAGCTTGTTTGTACTATATTAATCTCACCGCCACTCGTTACAAGTCACTCGATTTACAAGGAAAATATAAATAGGATTAGAAAACCCTAACAACAGCTATTCATGGGCCCAAGCCCAAACTACTAAGAAAATTACAATGAATCAGAGGCCCACAATAGTACCGAGCCTTTACGGGACCCCAGTTGTCTTTCTGCTGACCCCGACAACTAGGGCTCTCATCAGCATGCGAAGTATGAGCCATACCTGTAACACCCCGTTCTAGAACCGGATTGTTATCATTGCGTACGGCATTAAGCGCAGTTACAATCACATAAGTTCAATTAGAAAATCGGATAAATTTTTCCTTTTTATACAAGTCGGATTCAAATAACCAAGTGCGTGATCATAACTATACATACTTCGCGGAATAGTGGGACAAAACTAAAGGTTATATTCCCATTATACTTGACAATACGTCGTGAAAAGTCTTCATCACTTTAATTATCAAATTAATTATAAACTCTTTTTATGATTCCCATCTTCTACTATGTTATAGTATTTTTCATTAGCTACGCGTGGCTTCAAACCGCGCTCAAATCGGAGCCCCGTAGCCAAAGTTATGCATTTTCTAAGAAAAGGGTGCGAAACCTCCAGAACCCCCGCGCCCGCAGCGTGAGATCCACGCTCAGAGCGTGGGAAAACAGAAAGTTGGCGCCCCAAGCGTGGATCTGGCGCCCCAAGCGTGGATGCTACTGTCTGATCTCATAATTTGGCGCCTCAAGCGTGAATTTGGCGCCCCAGGCGCCATCCACAGGGCTGGGTGACCCAAAACAAGGTCATTTAACCTACCTATGGTTTTTCACTCATAATTTGAGCTATACTCTCTCAAATTACACCATTTCGGTCTCTATGGAAAGATAAGAGGAATGTCTACCACTTCCATAGAGACATCAAAGTCCAATTCCATCACATTGGGTGTGAAAATTGGTCAAACGGACATGATGTATTTGTTTTCTCAACATTTCCCAATTTAGCACTAGGTACCTAATTGATTTTCAGCCCAACCAATTCAACAACTCAATACATAACAAGCATGCATATATTGAATTTCAAGTAGGCATCATTTACATTACATATCCTTTACAAATCATAGAACTTAGCTTACAAAACACTATGATCATTCCCTTGGCTCCCATCAACAAAAGGTGTAACCAAAGGCATGAGCATAGGCTAAGTTCATCCAATGAATCAAGATATACAAATGACCATGGGCTTTCAAAATAAAATCCTATACATGTCAACTACAAAAGGCATGCATAAACTCAAAGAAATGCCATATTTCATGCATAATCCAGATATGGCCACTTGCCACCAGAGGCTCCTGCAGCATCCTTACCTGAAAGGGGGTCCCCACAACACGGGGTGAGATATACGAATATATCCAGTAAACCAAGGGTCCTTGGAGCATCTCTCCACCCCACAGTTCCATATCAGTGTAATAGCAATAACAATAATAATGCAGTAAATACATATCTATGCAAAGTGCACTACATCTCCAGGAGAAATCCCTCGAGCTCTCAAGCTGTCCTAAGGAAACTCAGATGCAAATAGTCCTACTGGCCAGCTAACTACCATGTATGATTTACGCATCGTCATGCAACATACCCACATAGGGAAACACCATCCTATGCCACACCAAATGCATACACATACGTATAACAAAGCATTACACTATTTTATTGCATTTATATACACAATCACAACCTCTACCCTTTCAGGGCTTGGTAGAACAGTCAAGGGAATTACACCCAAGGTCCGAAGGCTTACCTCAATGCTTCAGTCGACCTTTGTTCTTCACCAATGTCAACAATACTCTACTCCAAAACCAACACCTACACATGGTGTAATGCAATCAACACATTGCATCCAAGAGTATTTCACAATCAACCATCAAATACTCAATTCAAAACACCACACAAGTGTGAGCTTACCAATTCCAATGAGCTACTCAAGCTCCATAGCTTGTTCAAGCGGTTGATCACTCACGGTCGGTCCAGATGTCTCAATCCTAGACACCATTAGGACACAATCATCAATCAACCAAGCCATACCATTTATCAACAATGCAAGAAATCCAATATCAAGCATCATATTCTTGCCATTTTACAAGTATACTCATTTAGCTATCTAAGCTCATTTTCACTGATTAAATGACATTCCTAGCATTTTCCATAACATGCTCTAAGCTCCATTCTTCCTAGAACATAGCTAATTCAACTACATTTCATCAAAATCCCAATTTACTATTCATAAACCCTAACTCATGCAAATTTCAAGGAATCATGAGGTTCAAGGGTTAGAATCTTACCACCAATGGTCACACAACCAAGCAAGGAGTGTTCCTCAAGCTCCCATGGAGGTTGAACTTCCCAAAACTCCAAAATCTCTCCAATGGCCGAATTTTTGAGAGGCAATATCCCTCTCCACAATGCTCCCCACTCAAAACAAAGCAAGGATTATGAAAGAGGAGGAGATTCTAAGCGATTTAGGCTTTTGAATCACTCAAAATGGTTGAGATTTGCTCCCCCTAGGTTCTCTCTCCCTCTCCCTCTCTTTCTTCCTCTTCTTTCTCTCTTCTCTTCTGTTTCTGGCGTCGACGGGAATGGGAGGGTTTGGGGCTCTTTTGGTTACTTTATCACTTAACATAGGTTAAGTGGTAACATGTGGGTATTGGTTCGTCTATCTATTCAACTCCAATAATTACCAAACTTTACCCAAAAGTCTGGAATATTATTCTAGGAATATTACTATTTTTATTTTTATATTTTGGGTACTTTTGCCAGTACCCATTTATACCCCTTAATTTTCACTGAGTACACTTTTTAACTCCAAAGTGACTCAGATTCATTTAATTAAGCCTTATACTTAATTTCACTCACTAAAACATGTTTAATTAATTAATTACACTTGATTTACTAATTAATTAAGATGGGCTATCATAATACCCAACAGTTGAGAGCACATTAAACAATCTCGTCAATCACATAGTCTTCGGCATATTCAGTTTGATAATTGTTGGTTGTGAGTAGGGGTGACAACTTTCAATATGACCCACTCACATAACACAAGAAATTCTTGTTATGGTTGATTCATTTTCAAATTCGTATCGTGTTTGGGTTGACAAAAATCGACCAGAAAAATTCATGTAGTGTTACATGTCAATTTGCGAATCCAAAATTGATCCGGATTAATCTTCTTATAGGTTATTCATGTCGTGTCGTAAGCAAGTTATTCATGCCTTCTCACATAATAAGTAACACAATTTTGGTTCGACAGATTATTTGTGACCATGTTGTGTCGTGTCAACCCGCATAATAATTGACACACTATAAGTTTGCTGGTTATTGTATTGTGTCATGTCGTGTCAACCTGTAAAATAAGCATGTCATGTTCGTATCAAAAAATTTAACTCAATTTCAAATTTGTGTCGTGTTCGTGTTGAATATATTTGTATGCATATCAAATTCATGTTATGTTGACGTGAATTGCCAACCCCTATTTGCAAATCAAAATTAGTCCGAATTTAAGTGGTTAAATCCGTCAATCTGATTTCTTCTTTTCAATGACTACTTAAGTCACTAGTCACTACAACTAATAGTGAGTTTTGTGACATCTTTTAACATGTCAAGTGATATAATCAAACTTGGTGATAGTTAAAACGAGTTTGATGCCATGTCATTTTGGCAAAATTTCTAACCTGTGACATTCAGGAAATAACAAATAATAAGAACTTTCTTATTTAGGAAACAAAACTTTTAAATCCTAATACATACATACATAATTAATACTTGTCGTCGTTTAATATTTTATTATTTCACCATTTAATGTATTTGCATCAAATTCTTTTTGCAGGGCACGGCTGTTGAGGCTGTTGGTTTGATCAGTGCAAAGAGATAAGGACCATAAACAGTAATACCTTGAAAATTAAATACAGGGAAATACTATAATACGAGTTGAGAAAAATTAGAAATGGAACATTGAGATAAGGACAACCACAGGTGAAAATAAAATAATTTATACTGCGAAAGAAATTATAATTTTTCTTAATATGCAAAGAGAGAATTATTAAAATCAATTGGAAAGTACATTTCTCTCCACATAAAATAAGAAAAATACTTAGAAAATGTTATATAATTTTTTTTTTTTAACAATGAGAATATGAGATAATAAAGCTGAAAATCTCGCCTAATTTTCTTCTGTCAATCATGTCTCTTCCAAAGTCAAAAGTAACTAAGTGATCAACCTTTACCTTATCTCCATCAAAAGTAATTTTATATTTTTTCTCTCTAACCATACTTTGTCCGTAAAAGTAAAAAATAACTTTACATAATGCGCGTACCAAGCCTCTTTCGAGCATGCAGTGGGCCATTGTATATTTATTCTCTCACACAGACACACACCACAGCATATCTAATTAGTAAGATTTTTCGTTTAGTGCAAAATTACATTATCTTAAATTGAATTCCATTAAAGCAAGCTGGTGTGGGACGGATCAAACATCACATCTGTGAACTCAAAACCATGCAAAACGTGTATTAAGGATGAAATTGACGTTATCAATCTATAGCAACAACTTCCCAATGAAAAAGCAGAGAACTTTTTCTGATCATACAGCTCATCCAATATACGACATTTAAATGCTTGTAAATTATAATACCCTTCATTGTGTTGTCCTGTGTGAAATGTCTCTATCCGTGATGTCTGAGTAGGTAATGTATTCATTTGTTTCTTCCTGCTATTTAATGAGGATGAATTGTTTAGCATCCAATATCCAAGCTCATGCGCTACACATAAAATTGGGTAGAAGGAAGTCATGGTGCAAAATGCAAGCCTTTCAACTACCACCACGTAGCAACATATAATTAAATGGGTTTATTTTTTTTTTATATGGGGAATCCATGGTCATGTAATAGGAAAATAAAAAATTTCCTGCACAGACAATTTGTAGATCCCATATACTGTTTTTGCTCTCTCCAATTTTTTTTTTTATTTTCCTGTTACATGATCGATGCATTTTCCTTTTTATATTTGGATTAGAAGGAGATAAACATTACCAACCGGATGATAATTCACGTGGCAGTGATGAATCGTACGTGTACTTGATGTCATTTGATTACTCGAGCATGCAAAGCTTGTTATTTAACCAAGATGAGAGAATAGACTTTTAAGACCTTCGCACTAGCCCTGTCGGTGCTACTTTAATTGTTCTCCAAGAATGAATTGATATTAGATTAGTGGTAGATGATAATCAGAGGGATAAGTAAATATAGACTCCGTTTAGACTCTCACAAGAAAGAAATTATGCACTATGTATATGTCCATGTTTCTCCTTTCCATTCTTTGAATCATGGACCACGGCATGTTTTCATTTACTACAGTGCTCACCCGTAACCAGATTCCTTTTTTCCCTCAACTGTTTTTCAACAATATTGATTTATAAAGGAACCGCCATTAAACTAGCACGTCATTCTCTTAATCAATGGTCCAGATTCTTCCAAAAATAAATTGGGCAGCTACCCGTCATACCCATTCAATTTAATTTATAGTTTAATTATCAACTATATACCAGGCATTCAATATCGCCACAAATAAATTGGTGCGCTTCAATACAATCCCTATCATTAAATTTTGAACTAACTACCCCTTTCTTTCATTAAATCTATGTTTGAATTGATTCCCATATCAAGAAACCAACACTGTAGTAATATAGAAGAACATGCACCCTTTAAAATATTTATATGTTTTAACTATTATGAGTCTCAAGTACGGGAATCCTTAAAACAAAGCTCAGGTCTAGACAGCAAACAGAAGAGTAGTCACTTGAGCATATTTTAGACCATAGTTTAAAAATCATAGGCTTTTTTCAATTTCAAATTAAAATGCTCAGTAATGGTGCCAATGATTTCTCAGTTGAAAAGTCCTTCAGAATAAAGCAGGATGATAGATTCTTCTCCAGGCTATTGGCTAAGGAGACCTCCGTGGCCAATTCTTCTTCAAGGGTCTTATATTATGGAGAAACATCAGTTGCAGTTCCTTTCATATGGGAGGCACAACCAGGAACCCCCAAGCACCCTTTGTCTGAGACCTCTCTGCCTCCACTTACACCCCCACCTTCATATTATTCCAATTCCAAGTACAATAACAAGAGAAGAAACTCAAAAGCCAATATGTTTTCATGTTTTTTGCCAAGGTTTGCATGCTCGAGGAAGACTCATGTATCACCATCATCATCTCCGTCATTTTCCACATCTTCATCATCATCATGGTCAGTGGTATATCCATCGTACTCATATTCCATGAAAGACAAAGATCAAAGAAGTCTCTCTTTCTCAAGCTCAACAGTTCCTGGCATTCTTTTGGAACATAAAGCTTCAAACGGATTTAGAGGCCGCTATCCTTCTAAGAACATGAAGAATGCCATTGAAAGCCATGGAGCAGTCTAATTTATGAAGGTAACTTTTTAGAGATTAATTTTCTACACGGTTTACATCTTGTAGAAAATCTTTGAAAATTTAGTTGTTTAGTTGGTGATTGTGTGGGTTTAAATGCGTCAGACATATTGATTTCGTATCTCATGATCAAGATTAACAATGTATATGCTTTAAGTTAGAAACCTTTTTTTTACCATGCCCACTTTAGTATTATGTACTATAATTGTATCTCGTAGTTATGCAATTTTATCACATCTAGATATTATTTGAAAAGACTTTCTCGATATTATTACTGAGGATTGAGATTCAAGACGGTTAAAAAGAAACATTTTTACAAACTTGTAGGAAAGGTACTACTGTAAAACATTAAAGTATATATATATGCACAAACTTGAAAGCCCCCAATACTAGTTGGCATTCCTGCTTTGGAAAACAAGAAAAAGATAAAAGAAAAGAGAAGAGTATATCAATATATGTGCAGGGGAAGCTAGGTTTGCACATCATCTATTACCAAAGAAGAGGATTGGGCATAGAAATGAAGCAAGGCTTCATAATGGAAATAGCAGAGTAGACAGTAGGGACTGACAGTGGTCAGGTTTTCTCATTTCAAATACATTCGAGAAACAAAAGATTTAGTACTCAAATTAATGTGATCTTGATGCATGGAATAAATTTTTGCTACTACTGCTGTACCTAGATTCAGTACATCTCATCAATGAGAGCAGTATACATTAGAGTAGAGAGAAAAAATTTGACAGAAAAATAAATACATTAGCTGACATATAATATTTTCATTGATGAGATGTACTGAATCTATCTTTGGTACAGTAGTAGTATTAAAAATTTATTCTGATGCATGGTAGCAAATATAATAGTAATGAGATTTTAAATCGGTTCTGTGGTTTCAAATTAATGACTCGCTTCCTTCCTCCTCGACACAAGCACACGCTGGGACCTGCCAGTTGTTATCATTTGGTTTTGCTTTATTATCTTATAACTGCTGGCATTGGCTTCATTTCACATCCATAGCCTATAATAGCGGTAGACCGGGATCCCCTACAAATTTATATATTGCTTTAGCTGTGATTTTTTTTATTATATAGATAGGGATCGTTTCATTAAACTTCATACAAATCTTTAATTGTGAGTATCATCTTTATTCTTTTGGTCATATAGATAATTATAATTTATCAGAAATATTACACTTATAATTTTACCTCTTCCTTTATAAAATTTTCTGGCTCCACCATTTGCCTATGATGAGCGAGACCAGAATTGCATCAACGTCCTGCACACGTCTCATGTCGTTTCTGTGTTCTACATGTACAAACTACGTTTTGTTTCCCCCCGTCTTAATAGTCCATAATCAAAGTTTGTTCTTACAAAGTTTGATAATATTGTCATTAATCTCGTCCTTAGTTTACAATTCTGTCAATTGAGTGCTTTAAAGCTTAAAGTTTCAATCTCCAAATAAACAACTTTTATATAAGAATACGTTTTCTTTGATCTCAAATGAATGGCTGTTTTTCAAGCATATCAGCATATATATATAAGCACATTTGATAATTGAGATAAATGAGGTTATGGTAGTAAACACAAAGACTAATATTTAATCATTTATTTTGATTACATAAGCATTACATACCTGAAAAGGAGTTGTGTGTTACGGGCAAAAGAAGTAGAGGAGCCCCTACGTGGGTTAAGGACTTTGTAGTAGATGTTTAATTGTACACTTGTGTATATCAGTGTCATAGTGGGGTTATAATAGTAAAAGGCTAGGTATTGGCTAGTGAGGTGGCAGTTAGTTAGTTAGTTGGATCTATGTGTCCATTGTAAGGAAATGCACGTGGGAAGTTAGAAGAGGATTAGTATAAGGGGTCTCTTGTAACAAAAAGATCATTCATTTTTTCTGAATAAACACATTGAAAATTCTTCTTTTCATTTTCTTGCGTCTCTGTTGGGTCTTACCCTTAACATTGGTGCTTTCATATTGTGATCTCACGTTGGTTGAAGATGAGACTTCAGGAACTAGCGGAGGAATTGGGTTCCTTTCAGGCGCGTGTTGATCGCAGTTTGGTCGACATGCAACAGCAATATGTGGATCATCAGACACAGTTTGTCACTGTCACCAATCAGCTTCAACAAATCCATGCTGCGATGGTAGGAATCGAGAATCGTCTCGGTGATATAGGGGGTACAAGACCCAATCCAGTTGGCGGAAACATTGAATCTCCAAGGCAGAATCAATTTCGATTCGACCCTAATGATTCGCGTAATGTCATGCGATCTGTTAAAATGGAATTGCCTTCATTTGATGGAAGGGATCCAGTTAGTTGGATTTTCAGAACGGAGCTGTACTTTGGGTTGCACCAGATTCCAGAGCCTCTTAAAGTTCGATTGGCAGGTATGAAGATGGAAGGAATGGCGGCACCATGGTTTCAATGGTTGTTTAGTGGGAACACAATCCAAACATGGGAGCATTTCAAGGTTGCAGTTAAGCAACGTTTTGGTGGGACCAGATACACTGATCTCAGAGGTGTGTTATCGAAATTAACTCAAGAGGGAGCTCTTGATGATTACATCAGACGTTTTGAAGCATTGATTAATCAGGTAACTGAATTCTCTGATGAAGTTTTGATGAGCTTCTTTGTGTCTGGATTACATGCTGATTTGCGGAGAGCCATCCAATTACATACACCCACTTCATTGCATCAAGCAATGCAATTAGCCTTGACATATGAAGCCCACTACACAGAACTTCGTGTGTCTCTGTCTTCTGTTAACAAGAAATTTTTTTCTAAACCACTTTCTGCTGAACCACTTAATTCCAATACTCCATGGGTTTCCCACAACAAATCCAGTTTACCAGCTCTACCATCTAATCTGCCACCCCATAAACCGAGTGTTTTGGCCTTACCTCCTCCAGCATCTAGTAGGAGAGTGACTAATGACTATCTGCAAAAGAGAAGGGATTTGGGGTTGTGTTATACGTGCGATGAGAAGTGGAATTCCAAGCATGTTTGTAAAGGGAGAATGTTGTTTATGGTGGGGAATTCGGAGGAAGAGGTGGAGGAAACTGAGGAAAACATAGTTTGGCAACCAGAGCAGCTTCAACAGGAGTCTAGGGAGTCAGAATTACATCACATGGATGCAGCACTTCATTCCATGTCCAGTGACCAGAATCCAAGAGCATTACAGTTTCGAATTCGGTTGAATGGACGGTTAGTTCCTATTCTCATTGATTCTGGTAGCTCACATAACTTTGTGCAGAAAGACTTGGCTATTAGTTTGGGTTTGCCTATGGTTAAAATACCTAAAATGCGAGTGTTTTTGGGGAATGGAGACTTTTTAGTTTGTGACAGAAAATGCCCAGCTGTGGTGTTGAACATTCAAGGGCATGAATTTGTTGTCGATTTATGGATCATTGATTTGACTGGGTTGGGAATTATTTTGGGCATCATGTGGTTGAGTTCTTTGGAAGAGTTATTCATGATTATAGTGATTTGTCTATGGAATTCAATTGGAATAGTCAGAGAATCCTATTGAAGGGGCAAGGAGGAAAATGAGAGGATTCAATTGCTGAATGTTTTGTGTTGTCTACATTGGTACCTGCAACTAACACTGTCGTGGGTGCTAATCCAAACAATGCCATAGCAGAACTGTTAGCTGTGCAAGATACAGTTCCTTCAGCTGTGTGGGACATATTGATCCACTATCAAGAGGTTTTCACAATACCTCAGGGTCTACCTCCCTCTAGAGAATATGATCATGCTATCCATTTGACAGAAGGGTCAACACCAGTTAATGTAAGACCGTATAGGTATGCCCATCACCAAAAATCCGAAATTGAGAAACAGGTGGCAGATCTGTTGGTTTCTGGATTCATTAAGGTCAGTAAAAGTCCTTACTCCTCGCCAGTGTTACTTGTAAAGAAGCATGACAATTCATGGAGAATGTGCATTGATTATAGAGCTCTAAACAAAATAACAATAAGGGATCGTTTTCCAATTCCTACTATTGATGAGCTCCTTGATGAATTGAAGGGGGCTAGTGTGTTCTCCAAGTTGGATTTAAGGAGTGGCTATCATCAAATAAGGTTGCAGCCTCAAGACACTTCCAAGACAACCTTTAGAACTCATGATGGCCATTATGAGTTTTTGGTGATGCCATTTGGCTTAACCAATGCTCCTTCTACATTCCAATCTGCAATGAACCAGATGTTTAGACCTTATTTGAGACGATTTATCATAGTATTTTTCGATGACATATTGATCTATAGTGTCTCTTTTGAGGAACACTTGCTTCACTTGCAGATGGCTTTGGAGTGTTTGCAGCAGAACCAGTTTAAGGTTAAACTTAATAAATGTGGATTTGCTTTGCTAGAAATTGATTATTTGGGGCACCTTGTTTCAGGAGATGGAGTCAAGGCAGATCCTAAGAAGATTAGTGCTATGATGGATTGGCCCAAACCAAAGAATGTGAAACAGTTAAGAGGATTCATTGGACTTACGGGCTACTATCGAAGATTTATCTGTCACTATGCCACATTGGCAGCCCCTCTAACGGAATTGCTGAAAAGTGAGTCCTTCAAGTGGACTGAGGAGGCAGATAGAGCTTTTCAATTACTCAAAGAAACCATGACTTCAACCCCTGTCCTTATCCTACCTGATTTTTCTCTTCCTTTTGTGGTGGAGACTGATGCCTCTTCAATTGGCATTGGAGCTGTTTTATTACAAAACAATAGGCCCATATCTTTTTTTAGCAAGAAATTGGGACCTCTGATGCAGTTGGCTTCAACATATGTCAGGGAACTCTTTGCTGTAACTGAAGCAGTGAAAAAGTGGAGGCATTACTTGCTTGGTTCCAAGTTTGTTATCAAGACTGACCATAGGAGCTTGAAGGAATTACTTTCCCAAACAGTTCAGACTTTGGAACAACAAAGGTATGCTTGTAAATTGATGGGATATGATTTTGTCATTGAATATAAGCCTGGTAGTTCCAATGTTGTAGCTGACTCCTTATCTAGAATGTATGAGGAAGAGAGAGCAGGTACTGTTATGACATTGATTTCAGAAGTTAAATTTGATATCATTGAGCAAATAAAGGGGGAAAATGCTTCTGATCCAGAGCTGATTGCCTTTCATAACAAGTTGAGAAGTGGGGAGTTTGTTGATCCCAAAATTTCAGCAAAAGCTGGAATTCTGTATTACAATGATCGTTTGCTGTTAAGTTCCAAATCTGATTTAAAGCAAATTTTGATTAGTGAAGCACATGCTTCTCCAATTGGGGGGAATGCTGGTGTGACCCGCACATTACTCAGACTGTCAGCATCTTTTTTTTGGTATCATATGCGAAGGGAGGTAACTGCATTCATTGGGAATTGCCTCATCTGCCAAATGGTGAAAACAGCAACCACTCCTCCTTTTGGCTTGCTGCAACCTTTGCCCATTCCAGTTGGGGTGTTTGAAGATCTTACCATGGATTTCATAACTGGTCTGCCTTTATCTCGTGGGTTTTCAGTCATCCTTGTAGTGGTTGATCGCCTCTCAAAGTATGCACACTTTGGAGCTTTGGCCAATCCTTATACAGCAGCCAAAGTAGCATCCTCGTTCTGTGACATGGTGGTGAAATTGCATGGATATCCAAAGTCTATTGTTTCAGATAGGGATAGTGTATTCCTCAGTCATTTTTGGACATTGTTGTTTAAGATGAGTGGGACTAAGTTGCACACAAGTACAGCTTACCACCCTCAATCTGATGGGCAAACTGAAGTGACTAACAGATATTTAGAGCAATATCTTAGAGCTTTCTGTTCTGATGAGAATCACAAGTGGTCCTCCTTTTTGAGTTGGGCTGAATTGCATTATAATACAACTCACCATTCTTCAATTGATATGAGTCCTTTTCAGGCTTTGTATGGGAAATTGCCTCAGATGATTCCTTATTATCTTAGAGGATCAGTCAAGGTTGAAGCAGTTGATACAGCCTTAGTCCATTGCAATGAGCTACTTGTTCAACTTAAACATCACTTGCAAGGAGCTCAAAATCGCATGAAAATCCAGGCAGATAAACATAGAACAGATATATCCCTGGCAGTGGGTGATTTGGTGTTGGTGAAACTCCAACCTTATAGGCAATTGACAGTTGCAAGGCGATCAAATTAGAAGCTAGCCAAAAGGTACTTTGGCCCCTTTCCCATTATTAAAGTATTGAGCCCAGTCGCTTACCAGCTGCAACTTCCAGAGGGGTGTAGGATACATTCTTCTTTTCATGTGTCGGTCTTGAAACCTTTTAAGGGACACCATCCTGATTTAGTTCCAACTGTATCTGAATTTAGCCATGGCAATTCTCCTGTCCAAGAGCCAGTAGCTGTTTTAATGTCTCGGACGGTATCTGATAAACATAAATCTGGTACGCAATGGTTGGTTCAATGGTCTCATTCCTTGCCAGAAGATTCTTCTTGGGAGGATGAAGAGGAACTCAAGCTGCACTATCCCCAGCTGAACCTTGAGGACAAGGTTGAATTGGTAGACATGGGTATTGTTACGGGCAAAAGTAGAGCAGCCCCTATGTGGGTTAAGGACTTTGTAGTAGATGTTTAATTGTACACTTGTGTATATCAGTGTCATAGTGGGGGTATAATAGTAAAAGGCTAGGTATTGGCTAGTGAGGTGGCAGTTAGTTAGTTAGTTGGATCTATGTGTCCATTGTAAGGGAAGGCACGTGGGAAGTTAGAAGAGGATTAGTATAAGGGTTTCCTTGTAACAAAAAGATCATTCATTTTTTCTGAATAAACACATTGAAAATTCTTCTTTTCATTTTCTTGCGTCTCTGTTGGGTCTTACCCTTAACATTCCATTCATGTCATAAGAGCTATGTACTATTATCACATTGATAATATTTAATTATTTTAAATATAAATTTGAAATAACATTGCAAAATTTCATCTCTCCAATATTCAGTAGGGAAACTGGGAAAGGACTCAGTGTAAAAAACTTTTGATTCGGCCCATTACAACTAGGCCCTTTTGGGTCATTTATGGTTAGGAGTAAATTAGATCCAATATATTTATGTTAAACATTTTATTAACATAGTCCAGTCCAATGCAGGGTGTAACTGGCCTACCAATTCTTTTCTTTTCTTTTAGAAAAAAATGTAATATTTAAATAATTTAAATTATAGAAATTTAAAAATTTAGTTCATTTATTAGTTAGGCTTCAATTTATTAAATAAAAAACTAAAAATTAAAATAATGCGATTTCAGCTAGGTCCGTTGTGGGCTAGCTAAATTAGGCTAAACAAATTAAAAAAAAAATTGAGCTTAGATTTTGTTAGCTTAAGCTAAAAAAATTTCATACTAACGCATTAAATTAAGCTTCTTTTGACAAGTTGTGGATAGTTGAACTGTGAGAGGAAAATTTGGGCAACTTGGGCATTAAGGGGATATGTTGTAAATCTGTTTTTTATTTTTATTTTTAGTTGAAGAGAAAGTTTTAGACGAGAAGAGACTTTTTCTCGTTCCAAGAACAGACTAAATCACTAACGTTATTACAAAAAAAAAATAAAAAAATCACTAACGCTAAGCGAATTTACAGTTATCGATAAGAGATTCTTGATTCCAAACCTAAGTTAAGCAGTTGTCATGGGTAGAAGCTTGATTTGGTGAACCAACTCTCATTGGGGATATATATTTACTATTAACAATTCAAATGACCGTTAATATGTTATTATGATACATTTAAATCCAGTAACTTCATTTAAAACTATAGTCTAATTTTAATGATTAATCATTGTGAAGAAATATGTACAATTGTTGAGCGCGTATCCTTCAACTGAACTCAAGTTACGCTCATAATTTTCTTCAAACACAGCACTTGCATCAACTATTATATATCCATAAAGTATTTTACATTTGAAAAATCCAAATATAATTCTAACCAATAAAAATGATTGCAGCTGGAAGAGAAAGAAAAATGATTTTAGAAATTGAATCAAAGTTCTTATTATGAAATCCAATTTTTAACAGTGCTCAAATTAAAAAGCAGGGCAGTAATGGAAAGCCATCAGCAAGCAGAGACGCAAGTTCTTGATAGTGACAGTAGCAGCTGGAAGTAATTAAGGACACATATAATAAGTCTTATGGCCAGTATTCTGTTGACCCTTTTAAGATTTGTATTTTGAAACGAATGTTTGTGGTATTCAAAAAAATTTGGAAATGATTATTTGTTAAAGGGTTGATATTTAGTTCAATTAATAATAAAAGTAGATAGATCCTCTGTACACAAATTGGCCAACGTGAAGGTGGGGGGTTATGGGATTTGAAGTATTGGGAAGGTTGGGAATGAGAGGAAAACCGGGCGAGTTATAAGCCTCAAAATACGGGTCAAATAAGAACCGATGGTGCCACTCCCTTAGAGTCTAAGCATTCCCTTTTAAGCAGTTTAATATCACAGTAACCCTCCAAATACACTCCTTCTCTGTTCCTCTTCCCTCTCTTTCACCACCCACTTTGACACACAACACTCCTAGCCCCAAAAAAGAAAAAAAAAAATGTCATTTGTAATCCATAATATTCATTCCATAAAATAGTTGCATTAATCCATCCATAACCTAATTAAGGTTCCTTATTGTGATAATGTACATTATCAAAGTTACTGCTAGGTGGACTAACTAGATTTTTCCATCACACATTATCTCAAGCTACAATGCTTCTACATTTTACATTATACACATGCAATTGAAGGGCGATCATTTGTTTAATTTCTTCATACTAAGCTAGGCCGTGCTATAAGGGAAAATAATGTCATTTTTGTGAAGGATAAATGGATACAGTTAAGAAGTTAATTGTTTCTTAGTCCTTTGCAAGGAATTAAAATTAAAATTAGAGTTGATACCAAAAAAAAAATTGAAATTAGAGTTGTTGAAATCAGTAACCATGACATTTTACCCATATTCTTAAATGTCAAATGGTTTTTCTCATATGAAAGTTTGGGTGAGACGTCTCAAATCAATGATTCCTCTGTCCCTCAGATATTCATCACATAACAAAAGTCATTTTCTGCTAAAGATTAACAACTTATCTTGAAAGGTGTCCAAACTTTCCCTATTACTGTGATATACAATGTTAATTAAGATCAGTCTTTTGAATTTGACTAGACACATAAGCATACTCAATTTCTTGATAATATGATATATAAATATGAAAGGGCTGCCAATTTGAAAGACCTGCCTTAATAAGAAGCAAGAACCATATGCACGGCAGTAACGGAATCAGAGAGTTGATTAAGAACATCAAACATATTTAAGAACTCACACGTGAGCAAGCATTCATAGAGCTGCCATTTATACAACATAAATATACTCTCCTCTCTCTCTCTCTCTCTCTCTCTCTCTCTCTCTCTCTCTCTCCATCTCTTAATTTCTACATGAACTTCTCACAATTCTGCAACCTTCGTTGTAGTTTATCATAATTCCTGAAATCCTTACCAGAGAGATTCAATTCAAACAAGTCCATTAAACACACTACTTTTCCCTTTGTCATTCTTTCTTTCAATCTCTCTATATAATATAGCATTATTTTCTATTTCTTCGAAATTAAATATAGTTGGAGTACTGGTTTGTCCTTGAGTACCTTGCCTTTTAAGAACACTAATTTTCTACCCACATTTTCTTTCCACTACCGTTTTAGATTCTCCATCACCTCTCTGTATATTCTCTCCATTGATTAGTCCTACTTCATATTCAGAGATCATGCCTCAATGTCCAGAGAAAGGTAAGCCAGAAAATCTCTCTCCCTAGAACTTCTTTCATCATTTTTTACTCTTAATTTGTCAAACAACAGTAGATGCTCTAAAGCTTTCAACTCAATTCTTTAACGAATAATGTATGCTGATCAAAGTTCAAATAGAGTTTTTATACCAAAAAATAAAATTAGATAATTTATTGCTTAATTTTCATGCTTACACTATATATAGGGAGAGATTTGATGAGATAGGCAAGAAGATAAAGAGGGAAGGAGATGATTCATCTCAAAAGGGAAGAAGACACATGTTGAGCTCTCCAGGAACGCTAAACACCACTACCCCTTGTGCTGCATGTAAGCTATTGAGACGAAGATGTGCACAAGAATGCCCCTTTTCTCCATATTTCTCTCCCCACGAGCCCCAGAAGTTTGCTTCTGTCCACAAAGTCTTTGGTGCCAGCAATGTCTCAAAGATGCTGATGGTATATATATAGATATATACACATATAATTAATAATATCGTATTTATATGCATTTGACTCGATTGCAAAACAAGGATAACTTTCATGGACGAGAAAAGTAATCATTTGTGCTATGATTGTGTGTTTTAGGAGGTGCCCGAGGGTCAGAGAGCCGAAGCTGCAAATAGTCTAGTTTATGAGGCAAATGTAAGGCTAAGAGACCCAGTTTATGGATGCATGGGTGCAATTTCTTCTTTGCAACAACAAGTTCAATCTTTACTAGCTGAAGTTAATACCGTAAGGGAAGAAATACTTAAATACAAACTCAGGGAAGCTAACATGATACCCTCCTCTCATGTGATCATGCTACCTTCCTCAGAGGCTGTATCTATATCTGCTCCTCCACCTCCAACACCACCAACACTTCCTCTTCCTACAACTTCTTCCTCTTCTTCCGTTTACACCCAACAGACGGTTCATACCAATTATAGCATATTTTCAAATGATAATATTTCCTATTTTGGTTAAATTTGCTAACTAAACATTAATAATTCCATTTATTTCTCTCAAGGATGTATGCTTCTTTTTTGTTAATTTTACATGATTGATGCCCAATTTTTTTCCCCATATATATATGGTTGGTTAAATGTTAGTTTCTTCTACTCCTTTCATGCTGAAAAGCCACTATCATATTGGAGATTGCAGCTCCTTGATCATGTGATTAACTGCATTTACTCTCAAGTACAGATGAGGTAGACACGTTATGCCAATTCTATCTTATTCGTTTTATGAAGAATAAAAAACAAAATTTGTTTTATATTTTATGGAAGGTTGGGAGGAGGGAATCACTATGTATTATTGGTAACGGTATTAAATTTGCACGTGCAATCTCTGGTTGGTGACTATGATCATCTCATGATACTTAAAAATGTTAATCCGTGCCACAGAGGCATCGGAGTTGCTGTCTAATGTTGCGGGAGACAAAAGGTATGTTTGTGATCTTCAACGTGTTGAGTCTGAATTAAGCTTATGATGCTTGGGTTATGCTTTTTAGAGGACATCAGCAAAGACACGGGATGATTTGAAAAGTTGAAAACATATAGAAATAGAAAGGAAGGAAGATATATAGCTTATACTCATAGACATTAATCTGTGGGTGAGAGTAGATATGTCATATGTGTAACGTATTTGTTGGATGGTCACCTATATTGCCAGCTATTTAATTTCCCAAGAATAGGTTTCCTTGGTCCGAGGATTTCAGCCAAAATGGGGTATGGGAAGTCTTAGACGTTCTATAAGCAATATATATTATATATAATCAAAAAGAGACTTTCACCTCTTCAAAAGAGACAATTTTTTTTTTTTCTATCTTCTGTGCCTCGGAAACCGATGAGACCGAAGGAGTGAAACTGTATTTGATATTTGAATATTTCCAGGTTTTTTTTTTTTTTTTTTTTATATACAAGTGAAAATTAAGCATACAATTTAATATAATCTATTTAAATTTCTTACCTGGCTTAATTTTTTATTTTTTATTTTAAAATTTTTTAATAAGTTCATCAATTTACGACTAGTCCGATTCGAGACGAGTTTCAAGATTAAGACTTTAAATTCTTTTCAAAAATAAATATATTATTTTAATAAGGTCACTCAGCTACTTATCACCAACTGACTTATTTCCAAGCTGAGTTGATGATAGGTTTAATAAGATTTTACTGTATCATTTATTCCCGAGTTCTCGAACTTATAAACGCATGTGATAGAGCCATAGAGGGGACTTCGAGATTCAAGCTATTCGCAAAGCATGCATGGTTGGATCTCACTCAAACACTTGTTGCAATTGCCAACATGATATAAGGACTTAAAAAATAAGGCAAAATAATTGATTTATTATTATTTTAATAATGAATTATAAATACATAATTATTTTAAATCAATTTACAGATTTATTGCACTCAATTTGGTACGAATTAGACAAAGTAATCATGGAAGTTTTGTCTAAATAAAAGAAAGATCCAAGGAAATTTCGCACAAACTAGACAAAACTAGTCTCATCTAAATTTGAAACATGTTTGATTTTGTTGCATCTCGCCCTGTGACTTTATTAGTGTCACTGCCAGCTAGGTCTTGGCCCTAACTAATTTTTAAAAGTTAGTCATGTTTTAAATATCGATAAATATCAATGACTAAGTTGAAGAGATAAAATTTAATAATTGATACTAATTAAAAATTTTTGAGCTAGCCCATTATTTTTGTTGGCTCCGCCACTTATTAATGCACCACCTTGATGTGGTTGAGCCAATCTTCCCCAATGTGACTCGGTTAGAAGCTCTCCAACCGTCCAACGGCTTACAGTAACACGCGTCCTGTTAGTCGAATCCCATGTCAGAAGCCTTTTGTCGTTTTTATTTTTCTTAACCAGCCTAAAATGGAGATAATAATATTAGAAAAGTTATTTCCCTTGGTATTTCGGCTAAGTTGGACAAAATATGTTTTGACTAAATTTGACGAAAATGACTACAATAGATTATAAATTCGTTTATAGCATTATGTATTCGTAATTATTTATTAAAGTAATTATATTTAATTTTTTTCCTAAAAAATAATATATTTATTTTATCAACTGCGGAGTGACCTTGACTTGTAAGTTCATATATAGTATAAACACTAGATTTGAATCTTATTATTTTCTTTTTCTTTTTTTGGCAATGGATCCTATTATTTTTTTAGGTAAGAATACTTTAAAAAAATATTAAACTTATGAATCCTAATATGATAATACCTCCCTTTTATTGTTTGAATTAAATATAAATGCGATAAAACTTACATAGTTGTACCATTTTTCTGTGATCAAACTTAAATGACTAAATAAATAGAAGTATATTTAAAAATATTAAAGTTCAATTTTATTATTTTTGACCCATGAATTAATATTTTTGAAAAAAAAATGATTTAAGAATGATGTAATGAGACGAAAATAATGTGCAAATAACATTGTTGTTAATATATTCATTCGGTTTTATATCTATTATGATATAGGAATGCACAATACATTTTCTGCACAAACAAAAAAAGTGTAGAGTCCACAAATTTTTATTTCTCTCACTTTATTTCACTTTCTCTTTCTTTTTTCTGTTTGTACAAGAAATGCAATGTATATTCCTATAACATAACCGAAATAAGAGCCCGTATATTTGGCCTTTTCAAAAAAATAATTTTTATCTTTTTGTTATTTTAGGAGTATTTTTTACAAAAATTAAAACTATTTATATTTTTATAAAAACATTTAATTTTTGAAAAAAATATTTGATTTTTGACTTCTGTTTTTTCTAGAAGCTAAAATTTTTAACTTCTGAAAAAAGTAAATTTTTAATTTTTTTATGATTTATGCTTTTTTTAAAAATAGATATTCAAATAAACTAAAAACAAAAAGTGTTTTTTTTTTTTTTTTTTAAAACAGCATTTAAAAAAAAGCCATCCAAACATGCCGAAACCCATATTCATTTATCCTTGTCTAATTTCTGTTAAGGTCCTTTAGCTTGGACACATAAATCACAAAAGGGACGGAAATCGTTGATTTAGTAGTGACGCAATTAATAACCGGTAAAAATGATTTTCTGTAATAGAAATTACATTAGTGGGAATATAAGCTGAAACATCTCCCGATTGGGTATCAGGTTTTGATATTTTTATATAAAATTATATAAAGCATTATGTATTTATGACATATTATTATGAGAAATATTTGTCTCATATCATTGAAGATAGCAGCTATCTTACATCAGAAAAAAAATTCTGCAGTTAATACAGATAAGTTATCTGCATTTACTTTCAAAACGATGTCGTTTTGGAATTGAAAGATTAGAAAATTATAATTATAAAGATTATAATAATCCTGAAATAAATTAAAATTACAAAAATACCAAGATTTTTGTCCCAAAATGACGCCGTATTGGGCTTACTGCAGATAACTTATATGTAATAACTGCAGAAAAAATGAACTCATCTTATATTATACATTCATCAAATTTTGTGTCAATTTTTTTTTTTTTTTTTAAATTATGGACCTCACATATATATCTCTCCTAGGGGTGCTAAACGAGCCAGGGGCCTTTGGCTCGGCTCGTGAAGGCCTGAGCTTACATGTCTAAAATTGATTGTTGACATCATGTTTGAACTTGTATAAAAGCTCGTTTAATAAAAAGGCCTCAGGCTCCAATTCAAAAGCTCGGCCTTAGGGCCTCTCAGGCTGGCCTATTATATTATTTTTTATTTTTATTTTATCTTTTTTATACTACTTGTAATAGCCTCTCTTTCTCCTCACACCATTTCATCCCATTTTATTGGTTAAATAGATTTTTTGAACGATTTTGTTCTATATTATACTGTTTGGATATATATTGAATTTATGATATTTATGAAATTACTAGTGTTGTTGATTGTATATTCTGTTTGGATAAATTTTTGTTATTTTAATTTTGGAAAAACTTCAAAAACCCCCTATAACTTTCCTTATAATCATTTACCCCCTCCCCAAATTTTGAATCATTTACCCCCCTGATTTAAAGTTTTTTATCATTTACCCCTCTAAGTGAGGGGAGTAAATGATAAAGAAACTTTAAATCAGGGGGGATAAGTGATAAAAAAAATTTAAATAAGAGTGTACATGATTCAAAAATTTTGTGAGGGGGTAAGTGATAATTGAAAAAACTCATAGGTTTTTTTTTTTAAGTTTTCCCTTTATTTTTTTTAAGGGAAAATTGTTTATCCTTTTAAATGACACAACTTATGTCATTTCACTCTCACAAAGAGGTGGGACCCACACCTTTATTTTTTTTTTGTCAACTGTCTCTCCTCCTTTATCTATCTCTTTCTCTCTCTTAAAATGACAAAACTTTACATCCTTTTAAATGACACACATCCTTTTAAACAGGCTAACAGGCTAAACCAGACTTTTACTTTTTGTAAATAAGTCAGGTCACAAACCGATAATAATATTTATAACAGGTAACCGTCTTGGGCAGACTGACACATTTAAACACAGACTTATCCTTTTAAGACCAAAGCTCGGCTCGGTCGGCCCGTTAACACCCCTAATCTCACCAACATGAGAGTACTATCTCAAGTAACATGAGATTAGTAACTCCCTATTATTATATGCATGTTATATATATATATATATATATATATATATATATATATATATATATATATATATAGGGCTTATCGTTTCTCAAGCTGTCGGAGATAATTTTATCTCCGCCTAATAAATCATAACTGTAAAATGATGGATCAATGGTAATGAAGGAAGAGAGAGAAAAAGGGAATCATAACCATTTAAAGCTGAATCAATTAATATAAGAAAATAAATAAATAAAACGATGTAGTTTTGGGGTGACCGAAGATAAACTTATCTCAAGTTGCCGGAGAAATGTTTATATATCTTATATTATAAAGGAATTCCATTCTGTGGAAACCTTGCTGACGTGTCGCACTGTGGTTCAATTTCACCATTGTGTTCACACTACAAATTTTAAAAAAGTTTCCTTTAATGGTAAATCGGTGAATATAATAAATACAAAAAAAAATTATACTTTCAATGGACAGGATTTGTTACTTTAAATCAATGGTAATCTTTTATTAACCTCTTGATTCAGTGGAATCAGGTATGAGTGTTTTGTTATTAAAACAAATGACTGTTTTATTCCATGAAAATCTCATTTATAACTACTGAATCACTCTTTTGTCGTTATCTTTGTTTTTTAAATCTTTATTCAGTTTAATTCAAAAACTTCACATTTTTATAACTACTGAATCCCAACGCATTTCTGGCATTTCTTTTCCTGAACGTATCGAGCTAAAAAACTGCATTTCTTGCAGCAAGGTATCGAGCTAAAAAACCAAAAAACCATATCATTTGAAGACCAAACTGCTACGGAGACAATATCAAAATGAGCAAATACAAATCAGAATTCCATACTCCTTCAAGGAAAAGAAGAAACAGAGGTCTGAGTGAATCATCTAGGTTGACTGCAACAGACAATCAATTCTCATTTTCACAACTAAATAATTTTACTCATTAATTTTACTCATTGCTGTGTAGAACAACTTTTGGGGTTTTCTCCCTCTACCGATGGCAGGTAATTTTATTTCGTCATTTATGTCATTCATGGTTTGTTGATTTTTTAAATTTAACTGCGGAACTTCTTTAGTGGATTTTGTTATTGCCCCATATTTAAAACATGTAGACTTTCAAAGGTGAGCAATATTCAGAATGATATAAGCTCCAACAGACAACGACTGCATAATATTACAAACGGTTTGTTACTCTTTTATACCAATTTGACAGCTTTAGCAACGTTATACTATTGGAAGTTTGATTTATTATTTTTTCGGTTTTGTATTGTTCCCAGTTGGTACTGCGCATAGCATGCCACGTGGTTGTGATTATAATAAAATAATATCTAATTCCTACCAGCCAAACGTTGTGGAATCGTTTCCTTTGAATGGTGCGTGCGAAGGCTTTCCTCAATGAACTTCGATTATTTGTGTTCTTATCTAATTGACTTTTTCAATTTTTCTGTAGAAAATCTTACTCCATTTTCTGCCTCCACCAGTGCCATGTAAGATTATTGCTTGGGTTATCTCATTCAACAATGACTAACAATCCTTGATTTATTAATCTTTTTTAAACATACAGCATTTCTCAAATGACCAGTAAACGGAATGAGTTTAGCTGCAACAGGTGCTCTCTTGATGATATAACTAACAGTAGGTGAAAAGAAATTAACTTCAATGTCTATTTATTTTTTTTGTACACTATTTTCTTTTGTAAATACATTCTCATATTCTAATGGTTGTACAACAACATATGAGTTTTATTATTATATCAGCACTAGCTTGCGATTAGATTTCCTTCTCTTATTCAACTGATAACTTTATTTAGATCACTATCCTTAGGAAAGTTGGCATTATAATGTTGGCACCTCATTTACATTTTTGGTATTGTGTAGAAAATCTATCTCCATTGACTCCCTCATGCGTTAGCAGGTAATTGACATCTGCTGTTTGATTGTTTAAATTTCATATTGAGCAGTTTTTTTAACTGCTTCATATGTTGTATAATATTTTTTTCCAACTAATCAGTATTTACGCAAACACAAACCATTCGATATCCAATATTTCTTCCTCAATTGCTAGAGACTGTCTTCATTCTCATCCCACACAAGGTAATCTTTTCAATAAGCTACCATTTTCTACAACACACGTTATTTTAATTTTGTGAAATAAAATGTAAAATTTATATTGGTTGCCGTTAAGTTTTTATTTTATTTTATTTTTTCTTAGAAAGCAAAAATGCTAGATCAAGGCGGAAAGGTATCATGTTCCAAAAGAAGACTTCTAAGCAATATGTCAAGATAAACAATATACCAAAGATGCTTGACTTGACAGGTAATTCGTCTTTGATTGATTTTACTACAACCATGAATTATAAGAGGATAATATATGTAATGTATTAACTATTTTTTCACTTACCATTATTTCGACTATATTATTTATTCCGCATTGGACTTTTTCATATAGGGATTGATGTGAACAGTGAGAATTCAGTGCTTTCAACCGTTACTGCGTTCAGTGATGAAAACTATATATCACGGTATCATTATACCTGTGAATACTTTTTTGGGAACACTATGTTGTAATTAAATATTTTTACATGCACCTCCTTCGTTGACGTCATATAAATTCATTAAAGCCTTTTTTTTTATCTGTGACATACAATGTAGTTCCCCATATGATAACGGTACAAGTACGACTTCAGCTGATTTGGATCAACAAAGTGAGTTTAAACACCTGTCACTGTTTGTATTGGATTTTTAAAATGCAAGCACGAATGCTTCTATACGAATGGTAACTGGAAAAAAATAATAGTAAATTAATTATTTTGAGCGTTGTTTATTCTCTAAATTTATTATTTCCAATTTTCTATTGTTTAATTGCAAATTAAATGTCTGAATGATAAATGTTATACTCACCGATTTTTTACATAGCATATTCAAGAACAGTTGTTTACGACTTATACTGGTGCGCATTTGCTTAATTAAATGCGCTGGGAATAAATTTATTTATATTAGAATGTCTTTTATTATTTTCGTTACCTCTTGCTTTGTGTTACAGATACTGATAACAATGAATAAGAGAACATGATGGGCTCTCTTTCTATCGATTTTAAATTTTCAGATATTAAATCACAACTCTTTGTTCGTGATGGGCTCTCTTTTTAGTTTTTTTTATTACGTTTTCCTGTTGTGTTATATATATGGATATGGATGATTCCAATGTGCCATTTTTTTTTATTTTTTACAGATCATCTTGGAGAACATTTGTCTGCAACTTATACTCAATATGGTGAGCACAAATCCGATTTAATACGCAGTTAAAAATATTTTTATATTAAAAATGTCTTTTGTTATTTTTGTTACATTTTTGCTTTGTGTTACAGATACTGATGTCAATGACTCCAGTGTGCCAACTATTACCTCTATCCATCAAGGTCTTTATATTAATTTTCAATTTTCAATTTTCAAATATTGAATCACAACTCTTTGTTCCTGTTGGCCTCTCTTTTTTTAGTTTTCCATTCGTTATCCTTTGTGTTACAATTATGGATATAGATGATTCGAATGTGCCAATGTAGTTTTTTTTTGTTTTTTACAAAGTATTTTTTTTATAGTCTACTATTTATGGTGAAAACGGTGCTCATTTGGTTCATCTAATACATGAAAAAAAATTGTGTTCACATGTCTTTTTTTTCCAATCATTTTTTCTTTCTATTATAGATATTTATATAAACAATTTCAATGTGCGAAACACATTTTATATCAATGGAGGTCTTAATTATAATTTCAAATTATATATTTGCCGTTACAAATAAAAAACTTCCTGTCTGACAACCAAGCTTATTTCAATCTAAAAATATTTGTATATGTTTAGATTATTGGGACGCAGGGGATCCTACTTTTGTTTGCGAGCATTGTGGAGCACAAATATGGTATGCAGAAAGAACTAAGAGGGATCGTAACCCAAGTATGCCGCAATTTGGATTGTGCTGTGTCAATGGAAAAGTTCAACTTCCTTTGTTAAAAATTGCTCCAGATACATTGCTTCAATTGCATGCTAATTCCAATATGACGAGCCGCCATTTTTTGCGAAATATTAGAGCGTACAATATGATTTTTTCCTTCACCTCCTTTGGAGCAAAAGTGGATGGATCGGTAAATCAAGGTTCTGGCCCTTACTGTTTTAGAGTTGGGGGGAGAGTTCATCATTTAATTGGCAGTCTTCTGCCTGCTGATAGTCAATCTCCAAAATTTGCTCAACTTTATATTTACGACACTGAGCATGAAGTGGACAACAGACTTGGTTGTCTAAGGTATATATTTTTTTTACCCAATTCTCATGTTTCATATGTGGAGTATCTTTTTATGTTGACTAATATGAATGACAATTTTTTTATTTATTAAATTTGCAGTTCCACCAGTACTGAAGATATGCTTGATCCTGAAATTATCCGATTATTGAAGGAGATGTTCGATAAGCACAACAGTATAGCTCAGTCTTTCAGGTATGCTAGAGACCGTTATAAGGAAGATGACTTTAATGGTGTAAAGTTGGGGCTTATTCGAAGGCGTGGTAGTGATGGAAGAGTTTATAATCTTCCGACAGCATCCGAAGTGGCAGCTTTGATTGTTGGAGATATAGACAGTGCTATGGGCGATAGGGATATCATTATTGAAACACAAGATAGAGTATTGCAGCGCATCGATGTGAAGCATCCATTATATCTTGGCTTGCAGTATCCATTGTTATTTCCATATGGTGAAGACGGTTATCGTGATGATGTCCAGCGTACTGTATCCAGTGGTAGGAAAAATGCAAGAGCCATGATCAGCATGAATGAATTTTTTTCGTTTAGACTTCAGATGCGATCTGGAGAATCAGAAATTCTACATCGATCAAGGAAACTTTTCCAATAATTTCTGGTTGATGCATACACTATGATTGAGTTTGAATGGCTTAATTTCATTCGATATAACCAGAGTCATCTGAGAGCTGAGTTGTACAAAAATATAAAACATTCATTAGATAGCGGTGAAGATGCAGCACTGAGCACTGGAAAACGTATCATTATACCTTCTTCATTCACAGGCGGACCTAGATATATGGCTGAAAATTGTAAAGATGCTTTCGCAATTTGCCGTTGGGCTGGATATCCTCATCTTTTTATAACAATTACCTGCAATCCTAAGTGGCCAGAAATTATACGATTTGTTAGGGCCAAACAGCTGAACCCTGAAGATCGGCCTAATATTCTATGCAGAGTCTTCAAGTTCAAATTGGACCAGTTGCTACATGATTTAAAAAAGGAAAATATTCTTGGCAAAGTCATTGCATGTAAGTATATTATAAACTTGATACTCTTTTTGTTAACTGGATTTTATACAAAAAAAATTTACGTCATGCATTGAATCTTTCTATAACGTTGTTGTATTCTTATTATTACTTATGTTATATTCTTTGAATGTAACAGATGTTTGTACAATCGAATTCCAAAAGCGCGGACTACCTCATGCTCATATTCTTCAATTCTTGAACCCTTCAAGCAAAGCTGAAAGTGCTCTTGATATTGATAAATTGATTTCAGCGGAGATACCTGACAAGGAAACGAATCCTACGCTGTTTATGGCTGTCACGAGTTATATGATACATGGTCCATGTGGTCATGAAAATTACAAATCTCCTTGCATGAAGGACGGACGGTGTTCAAAAAAATTTCCAAAAAACTTCTGCTCCCATACTTTGATTGACGATGATGGATTTCCTCATTATAAGAGAAGAAATGATGGGAGAGTTGTGAACAAAAATGGTGTTGAACTTGATAATCGTTATGTTGTGCCCTATAATGCACACCTTCTTTTAAAGTACCAGGCTCATATCAACGTTGAATATACTTGCCAGAGAAGTGCCATTAAATATCTTTTTAAATACATCCACAAAGGGAATGACATAGTGACAGCTGCCATAAATCATTCGGACGATGATGAAATAAAAATGTTTTATGACTGCAGGTACTAAAAATAATCTCCATTGTGTTTTGCTTTCCGACAAAATTGGCACAATTTTTTTGAGAAATTATTAACTTAAATGTTCACCGATTTATTTATTTATGATAGGTATGTCTCCGCATGTGAAGCAGCTTGGAGAATATTTGGATTTGACATTCATTCGAGATATCCCCCTGTTCAGAGATTGCCATTTCACTTGCCTAATGAAAAGAACATTATTTTCAGTGATAATGATTCGTTGTATGATGTAAAGACAAGGGCGGAGTCTAGACTGTCAATTTTTGAGTCTTGGATGGATGCAAATAAAAAATATCCAGAAGGTAGGCATCTAACTTATGGAGAGTAC